CAGAAGCAATTAATATTGCGCTACAATACGAGAGTGCGACTCAAATAAACTGACAGGTAATGAGAATAAATTACCAAAAGAAAAATTCACACAATCGCTACACCAACAACAGAAACTCATACACTAACAACAACAGAAATCAATATCATAACAACAATCCCAATAGAAACAACCAAGGATATAATTACCAAAACAGGAATTATAATAATAACAACAATTCTAACAGAACTAATAATAATAATTCCAATACCAATTACAATAACAACAATTTTAATAGAAACAATAACAACAATAGGAATTTCAACTATCGAAATCAAAATAATACCAGATTTCAAAGAAACAACAACCAAAACAACCGCATACACGCAATAGAAGACCAGGGAAACGGATTTCACCCGGATTCCTTGACGATGCCCCTGAATTCGGGACAAAACACTTAAACCAAGCATCCACCGAATACACAAAACAAACCAACTCCCATATCTTCTCCCTCTCAAAACTATAAAATTACATATGACTAGATATTAAAAATGCAACAAAAACAGAACTATCATTTCTACTAGACACAGGAGCAGACATCAACCTCTGCAAAGCACACCTTTTGGAAGCTTACCCACTAAACAACGCAGAATGTATTAATCTAACAGGAAAAACCAACGAACGTATAGAAACATTGGGAACCACACATTTGAATATAAATCTAGAAAACGAAATCACTCAACATAAAATACATCTAGTAGACCAGAACTTGCCGATAAAAACCGATGGAATCGTAGGAAGAGATTTCCTGCACAAGTATGCTTGCAATATAAATTATGAAAATTTCTCTCTTACAGTTAATACACACGACGACCAAATTCAGCTCCCCATATGCGATGAAATACTTAATAAAAACAACATATTTCTTCCCCCAAGATGCGAAATCATAGTCCCCATAGATATCAAAATAGACAATGATGCTTTAGTATTAAATAGAGAAATAGAAAAAGGAATATTTTTAGCCAATTCTATAATACCAAAAAACGGACAAAAACACAAATAAAATACACTAGATAAAGAAATCACAATACAACACCTACATATCAACACCGAACCGCTCCATACCTACCAAATTATACAATACACACTCAATATGATAAACAACGATTCCAAAAAATATTACAATCCATAAAATTAGACACCGTCAACAACTCTCAAAAACAAAAGCTCATAAAAATTTTCAAAAAATTTCAAACAGTATTCCACCTAGAAAATGAACCACTCACAGCAAACAATTTTTATACACAAAATATAGAAACAAACGACAACACACCAGTATACATAAAAAACTACAAACTACCCCAAACACAAACAGACACTATACATAATCAGGTAAAAGAACTATTACAACAAAACATTATAGAACGCTCAATCAGCCCCTACAACTCACCACTCTTACTAGTACCCAAAAAAAATCAGACAGACATAAAAAAATGGCGACTAGTAGTTGACTACAGAAAATTAAACGAAAAAGTAGTAAACGACAAATTCCCCCTTACAAGATTAGAAGACATCTTAGATAGACTAGGACGAGCAAAATATTTCTCCACTCTGGACATGACAAACTCATTTCATCAAATAAAACTTAACAAAAACTCGCGATCTTTAACCGCCTTTTCAACACCGAACGGACATTATCAATACACGAGACTTCCATTTGGATTAAAAATTTCGTCCAACAGTTTCCAAAGAATGTTAACTATAGCTTTATCAGGACTAGACACCGAAGCATTTTTATACGTAGACGACATAATAATACACGGATGTAGTTTCGAACACCACAACAGAAATTTAACAAAAGTACTAGAACGACAAATACAACCTAAAACTAAATCCATCCAAATGCAACTTTCTACAACCAGAAGTAACCTATTTAGGACACCTAATAACACCCGAAGGCATAAAACCAGATCCCGCTAAATACGAAACAATAAAAAGCTACCCCCAACCCAAAAATACAGACGAAGTAAGAAGATTTATAGCATTTTGTAACTATTACAGGAAATTCATAAAAGACTTTGCTAACATAGCACAACCACTAAACGATCTCCTCAAAAAAGGAAAAGACTTCAACTGGACAAACCAATGTAATCAGGCATTCCTAGAACTCAAAAATAAACTAATATCCCCACCCATATTACAATATCCAAATTTCGATAAACCCTTCATTTTAACAACTGATGCATCATATTACGCCTTAGGAGCAGTATTATCACAAGGAGAAACAGGTCAAGACTTACCCATCGCATACGCAAGCAAATACCTAAAAAAACACGAAAAAAACAAACCAATTATAGAAAAAGAATTACTCGCAATCCACTTTGGAATAACGCATTTCAGACCCTACTTATTCGGCAAAAAATTTACAGTGATAACTGATCACAGACCATTAGTAGCACTATTCTCTCACAACAACCCCACCTCAAAATTAACCAGAATAAGAATAGAATTATCGTACTACGATTTCAACATAATTTATAAAAAAGGTTCGAGCAACACTAATGCTGACGCCTTATCAAGGATAAATATAAATTCTGAGATATTAAAAGAGAAGATTCCAATATCCAGAGAAGAATACCAAGAAGAATACCAAGAAAAAAGACGTTGGTCATTACCACAAGCAAATCTGCAAAAGAAAACACACTCAATGAACAACTAAATATGTAGGAATGCACGTCAACAAATGACATTAAGAACACAAGAAAATTAGAATTCCAATTCGAAAGCGGTATAAAAGATATGATAATTGAAAATGCGAAAGAATTAAACTGCACACGTGTGAAATGCAATGAATATCCAGACCATTTCGATGCGCTCTTGGAAAAATTGACATAAACAAGTTAAATTTCTTAGACTATGCATTAAGTCTACATGATGATATATTTAAATGCATATCCAAAGAGATACTAAAAGAAAAATTCAACAATATTAAAATAAATAATATGCTATTATACAAAGAAAGAGAAAGAATATATGATGATGAAGAAAAGTGCAAATTAATAGTAGAATACCACACTTGCCCACGCTCAGGACATTTCGGAGTAAGAAAAACATTCCAAAAATTAAGCCAAAAATACATCTGGCGCAATATGTTCAAGATGATAAAAAATTATACAAAACAATGCCACATTTGCCAAACAAGCAAACAAACCAAACATACAAAAGAACCTCTCACAATAACAGATACACCGTCCACATCTTTTGAAACACTAAGTATAGACACAGTAGGACCAATGAAACCTTCATATAATTTCCGATATATATTAACAATCCAATGCGTATTAACAATGTATAAAATCGCACATCCTATTGTAGATAAAAGCGCAAAATCAATTGCCAAACTTTTAACAGTTCAACAATGAAGTAATAAATGAAATTTGTCTGTTACTAAATATCGAGCAAAAGTTCTCAACCCTCTACCACCACGAAACCTTAGGTGCTGTTGAAAGAAATCACAGAGTTCCTAACGAATACTTTTTAGCCTTTACAACAAACAATGATTGGGATAAATGGATACCATACTACACTTTCGCATATAACACTACCCCCCACGTAGAATATACACCTTTTGAACTGATATATGGAAAATCGCCATACATGCCCAACGAAAAAATATTACATTCAAATCCTACATACAACCTAGAAAACTACATAAATGAGCTAAAAACAAAATTAAAATACTCTTTAGAAAAAGCTAAAAGATTTTTAGAAAAAACAAAAGTAGCAGGAACATACTATCAAAAGAACATTACGAATCCAATCGATATAAACACAGGAGAACAAATCGTATTAAAGAAACACACAGGAAAAGATTAGATAAAACCTATGGAGGAACCTTTGAAGTAATAGATATCAAAGAACCCAATGTCACAATACAAATTAAAGATAAGCCAAAAACTGTAATTAAGAGATACATTACAATAGATGTAAACTAAATTTATTTAAGAAAACGTAGAAATATTATAAACCAAACCTAATTAAGACTATGAAAATAAAACTGTAAAAATTTTAAAACTAAAACTTATAAACCAAATATAATTAGAAACTATATGTAAATGTAAATTAAAGACATAGGAATTTATTTAAAAACTACCGTTAACTCTATTAAAATTCTCTTTCATAACAGAAAATTGTTAAAGTCTATCAACACATTAACAATTTTTTCTCTAAAACGGTAAGAGTGAATACTGTCACACCATAAATACCACCTAAATACTTCCCGTCAAACACCAACAGTAATTACCTTTACACTGTATAACAAAATAAATTGCCAACGGCAAATACAAAAAAGAAGACATTAAGAAAAAGTAAGGGAGAATATTGTTAAAGAAGCATATCAATTACCAAACAAAACTATAAAGAGAATATATTAACAAATCAAAACTATGTAATTTGTATTTTATTGAACCAAAATAAAACACTAATAGATTCACATACAGGCATACATGTAGAGAGTGGTTACGTCTATGGCAATTGTAAACGAATAATAAAGCCCATACTATTGTAAAAACTTGGAACAAAAATCAGAAAAACAACAATTGCAGATTTATTGTATATTTAAAAATTTATCTAAACGGAAACTTTATTAAAAGCCAACAAAACTACATTAAAAACATAGAAACAGTATTTGTGAAAGAACACAGCAGAAATCCCAAAAAAAGGACAATCAAAGTAAAGAGGGAGAGCTTCAAGCAGAATCAACAGCTACAGGCAAGCCTCATCCATCCTGAATGTTGTAATTACTGAAAGTATGCATTTGAAGAAAAAAAAAGGCCAAAAATATTTATATAAAATGTAGACTTGAAAAAAAAAACCCGAAATAAAAACAATGGTTTCTAAATAATTGTTATATCAATACGTAATTAGCAGGATTGGCAGCTATAATGCGATTTTAACTTCAATTTTTCTCATTTTATTTTATATTTTTCTTTTTTTTAAATTTGTTTACCTTATAATAAAAAAAAAGAAAAAAGAGAAACAATTTAAAAAAAGAATAGGATCTTTAAAATTTCTTTTTATGTTAATATTTGCTTTTACTAGAAAGTAAAGAATCACGCTTAAATAAGCAGTCAGTGGATGTCGCTGAGGAGCAGTATAGAGAGGGTGAGTGCATGAGAAAAGGTATCGGGACTGGGGACGGATACCGACGGACATCGGACGGACTTACACAGGACAACTCATTGAAAGTCCCCATCTTTTTCATTCCTTTTCTTTTTATATTTATATATTTTCTTTCTCTGACGGCACAGCAAGCCGAATGAATGTGTACAAACGCTCTACCGTACAACGAGCTATGGCCGTGACAAACCTCAAAAGATAATTTAGGATTTTTATTCAGGTGAGAAATGTAAAAACTGTCCAGATTTCTTTGCAATGTTCGCAACTGTCATCGAAAGCAACCTGAAGATTGAAATATTTCAATATCTTCGGACCAGTTTGAAGAATGCCGCATTGGATGCAATGTCACTAACCATGTTAAGGCCATTGATTTATTGAAAAAACGAGTTGATAATAAATTTCTTAACTTTGCAGACATTAAGGTTTTGTGTTGGAAGGCGTAGAAACAAACAAGCTTGCGTTAATTCAATGACAAACTTAAGGCTTCCATGCTAGCACGACAATCTATGTGCGGACATTTCCGATGGTTATTTTCTTCGTTTAATGGACAATCCGATTGAAATGAGAAGATTATTTCACTATTGACAAGTTTACACTAAGGTTTAAGTCGCAAATAAGAAGTTCTTTCTTATGAAAGAAAAACTTTTTATATAAGCTCCAGTAAACTACGCGTTTATGTACAAAAATACAAAATAAAAAAAAATTATGTCTTTTAAAAATATGCCACGAAGTAACACTCCCATTAATCGTGAAATGCTTAAATTGTGATGTTAAGAAATGGATAAAAACTCTGGCTAAATATTAATAATGGAAAAGCTGCCTTATATGAAACAAGTTATAACAAATGTATGTTTCACACAATCTATATTACATATATTACATATATTTGTGTTTGGATGCGTATAGGAGGAAGTCGTTTCGATAATAGGGAGAAATATTTTCTACAGTAAATACAATGAAAGCGGGAAATATACAATATAATACCATGCTTTATGTACCAACTAAAATTTGATATAAATTTCATGTGACATTGAAAACCAAACCGAAATCGAAGGAGCCAGACTAACGAATATCGTAAAAATTGTTTAAAGAAATTATTTACAAATTTTATTAATATTTTTATCTTATTATTTTGTTTTTAAAAATTGTTTAAAGAAATTATTTACAAGGTATTAGTGTGTTTATGGCAGATTTGTGGAAGGTATTAACGTGTTTATGACAGGTTTTTGAAAGGTATTAGCGTGTTTATGACAGGTTTGTGGAAGGTATTACTGTGTGTATGACAGGTTTTTGGAAGTTAATAGTGTGTTTATGACAGGTTTGTGGAAGGTATGGCAAATTGTCAGGAACAATTGACTTCATTTAAACGTTTTGCAATTCTATTGTACGATTGTAGAAGGAAAAGAAAATATCAACACACATTTTACACATTTTGACATCCGTTGTCCATATATGTTTCACTTTAATTAGCAATTTTCCATAATTGCTTTAAGTGTAGTAAGTTCAATTCATATTTGTACTGTGAATTGCAAGTCACTTTTATTTCTCGCCGAAATTGGAGGTTGAAAAGAGAAATTTACCCTAAAGAATTTTTACAATATGTATGTGATGTAAGATGGAAGTGTAGTGTAATGTGTAAACTTACTTCCAGTTACTTACCAGTAACAAACAAAGCGATTTAGTTAATAAACATTTTAATATAAGGAATAATCAATATGAATAATTAAAATAATGACATTTGTGTTTAAGACAAAAAAGAAATATATGAATTAAAATTTTAATATTAAATAACTAATTTAATTAACAATACTTCAACTCTCCTTTTTAAAGAGTCGTCGAATGTACATTCGTGTTACGTATTAAAAAAGTCATTCTTATAATTTTAAAAGAAAATAAAATAATTAAACAGATTAAAGGACTAGTAAGAGTAAAATCAAAATTAAGCCTTAGACAGTCAGAATCATTCATTTAACAAACTGTATCGCGAGAGAGACGGTACATCTTTGTCGCTCCAACATATATTGCTAATTGAGTTTTGTAGACTGGGAGATGATAAACAGACAAATATGAGGTGGAATAAAGTCGGAGTCTGTGATGTGGTTCTTCGAGTGCGATGAACTACACAGAGGGAGGCAACGATGTTTGTTTTCCCATTCAGTTTTTTTCTGAATATAATTCACTTTTTTTCACAGCTTTCTTTTTCTTCTTTTGTCAACTTTCTTCTATATTACTAAATTTCTTAAAAACTTTTCATTTCTATGTGAGAAATTTTGAACAAATTTTTGTTTGAACTCTGAGGCGTTTTATTTTTCACCAAAAAAAAAAAAAATCGAGTTTTTTTTTTCTTTTCGAAAAATTGACATGTAAATGCCACACTCAAAAAAAAAACTGACTCCCCAAAAAATTCTTTTTTTTTCTTCCTTCAAAAAAAAAGCATCGCCTACTTATTTTTCTATAGGGTCTCGATCCGTAAGTTCGAGAACTGTGTAAACACCTCTTTTTCCAGTTTACCTACTCCTCTTTGCGTCGTACATAGAGATTAAGATTTATTTAAGGATGTTTGACGTGGTGCAATATTTGGCATTGACGGGTTCATTCATAAATAGCTTTGGAACTATGGTTGCGTAGCTGGGACTTAGTCTCCAGCCGTCAACTACTTGCCATTAAACGTACTTAATTTTACGTTAAATGCTCTATCCAGTATCTGATATTTTGAAAAAAAAGTCTGTGTCGAGGAAAGCAAGGTTCTAATTTCAATGATCCGGTCCCCTATTATCAAAACCCCCTTTATATCGTTTTGAGAGAGTTCATATTGAGACATGAAGTGAACAAGTTTAAAACCTAAAACCCAATTTTTGCCCCGTTTCAGAAATTGTAGAAAACGAAGAAATAGTTGTTTGTACCGTTGAAGATTACAAAGTAATATCGTGTTGGAATTGAACCGTTCATCGTTTCGAAGACTGCCTAGCGGATAGGCTTATACTCTGTTATGATTTTAAAAACATGAATATCTTGAAATCAAATTGTCTTAAATGTAGTAAATCTTCAAAAAACCTGTGTGGAAGGTGTCTAAGTAATCTGAGGCCACCATGGGCACATCGGTATTAGCTCAATACGTCTTAATCCAAACTATTCCTACGATTCTTTGAATGAAAATTCGATTGAGTTGTCAGTTCGAGATAATTCAAATTGACAATCATGTTCCCCGTAGTGCATCCGACAACTTTCCTGATACGATTCTCTAATCTTACCATGTCCGTTTACTTGAATACAATAAAATTAAGGAAGAATTTTGAATGGAACTTTGTCCGTCGCTTTAATCTAAACGTTCCACCACTCGATAACGATGGTTTTGGAAATTTGTCTTAAATAACAAAAGATTATGCTTTTTCACTGCTCTTTCTGTGTTATGAAATGATATATGGCCATTTGTTTCAGTTTAGTTGCTTAGTCAAGATATAGTAGGTCTGACTGATACTGGTGGATCTGTTTTATGGTTTGCCTTCAATTAAGCAAAATTTTTCTCCAGGAAAAAACTTTGAAGGCAGCTGACGGCATTAATCGTGCTACAGTAGGTTGCATAGCCATCGATGTTACTTTTAAGGGTAAACTATGCCTATTACCTCTGTGATAATTGCATCGTTGCAAAAAAATTTTTATTTTAGTAGTCGACTTTGTTTCAACCTTTGGACTCGTCAAGGATGTCTTTTGGCGAAATGTGTAATGAAATAACTTATAGTACCACCGACCATAATTTGAGCGAAAAATAAACCAAAAAACTGGGAGGTGTTGTTGGTGATATTTCCTCTTTCAATATTGAAGTATTGGGTAAGACTTTCCCTATTTCTCATACCATCGACACAGGTCGGCCTAAACTTATCAAGCACCTATATCACCTGCAGAAGGAAAACTTCTGTTTACAGAACTTAATAAACTCCTCGGTATAGGGGTAATAGAGGAATCTCAAAGAATCTGGTCTTCGCCTGCTACACTAGTTATTAAGCCAGAAGGGATCCAACTATCCAACGCCCGAAAAGCGAACAGCGTTACGGTTAAGGACGAATGCAATATTGAGTAGATTACCAAAGGATGAATTTATCATTTATACCTTGATCTTTATACCTTTTGGCAAGCACAGTTACACAAACATCAGAAAGAGAATACAGCGTTTACAATACCTGGTCGCCTATTATGTCAAATTGTGACAATGCTGTTTGAGTTGTGTTCATTAATGGATAAAGTCGTTCCATCTCATATATGTTATTAAGTCTTTCTTTACTTCGATCATTTATTAAGTCCTTCTGAGCTACTTTACTTTTACAATTGAAAAGTTGACGGATCTGAACGTGGGGACCTGTGAGCACTTTTCGTAGAACTATACCACCTACTAGCAGATGATGCTACCAATGGTTGTGGAAGGTTCTCAAAGATCGTCAAGCTGATCAAACCATCGAATACTTTTCACTAAGAAATGTTAGAACAATTTTGACAGCAACACAAACAAAAAAAACCAAAGTAAAAACAAGTCTTGCAAATTTAATCTTTGCACTTATTCGTGAAAACTGACCGAAAGTGCAATAATTTAGTAAGTCAGCAATTATTGAACGAGATAGTAACAGAAAGAGAGAGAGTGAGAGGGAGCGGAGATATACTAGATCATATTGATAATCACATATCCAACTTAAGTTCACAAAATTATATTAATTATAATACCATTCAGACTGGTATTAGTACCATTATGTCTTTCATTTATTGTTATATGTCCTCTGTGGAATGCCACTTTTTTATCAAACATTTGTTAGAAGCAGGAAAATGGTTGTAAATGTAAGTATAAAGGTATATTTCACAATACGTTACGTTTTATTGGCGGCAAAATCAATCTCAACCAAGAAACGGGAGACAGAGAAATAGAGAATTAGATCGTATGTTAGAATTACCCGTCACACTTGTGAGGATTTTGGCAAATCTGCGCATGCGCTATTGTCGCATTTTTTACTTTGCGTGTAAAAATTTTATAATTTCTTTTTCGTAGCTTTATACAATTTTCAAGCCTAATTAATTATAATAATCTTTAAATTAATTGAAATATATTGAACTTTTTGTATTGATATCATTTTGGTGTTTGTGATTAGCATTTGATGCCCTCGTCAAGAAGCTTTTTCCTTGTTTTTGCATTTACAGTTTTTCTCTTTGTTTACTGTGTTTTTAATAGGGTGAAGTTTGCGTGTTAATTTAAGAGATCGTTTGTAAATACGTGACAAGTTTTTTGTTTTTTCTCCCTTCACAAACTTTATTTCGTTTGTGGTTTGTGGCGTGGAGGGTGTAACGTCCATGTACGAATATTGGGTAGAGATTCTGCCGGCTGCTTTGACCAATGATATCGTAATAAAGGCGTGAAGCAGCAGCATTTCTAAAATGGAAAAAAATTAGAAACTCGGTAAGAGAAAGTATAAGGCATTTTCTTAATGTTATTATAAAAACGTGTACTTGTTAACGTAAAAAGAGAAACAAAAAAAAGTTATTGAAAAAAAAAAGGAAAAACGAAAATGCTTTCATTTCGTAAATAATTTATTATACAAAGGTTAAGCAGAAAAATAGTAATTTTTAATGAAAAGAAACGGAATGCAAAATCTTAACAACAACCATTCAAAATTTACAAA